TTTTAAAATTTAAAAAAAAGCAAACTCTAAAAAATCTTAATTTAAATTTCAAAAATCAGAGCATATGATAGTCTAGCTACTTATTCTAATTTTTAAAAACTAGACTGAACAATAGCTTATATATTTGTTTAAAATATTATCTTTAGTTGCCAATACCAAAAAGCAGTATCTAAATTTTAATCAACTGCCTAATTTTTTTTAAAAAATATACTTCCTACTATAACTTTTGCAAAACCTCTAATACTTATATCAATCATTATGATATTTTTATTGATAATCTACTACTGCTTAGTTTTATATTCAAGCTTTATATCAGAATGAAAAACAACAAATTCTAGAAGAAATTACTATATCTGTTTTATCTCTATCTTTTTCTAATATTGTTATTAATATAGAAAAGCTTGTTATTGCTTCTATTTCAACTTCTATATCTATTACTCAACCGAAAAGACAGGAAGAATCTCTAACCTCATCTGATAATTTAAAAAATAATTTAGAAGAAGCAACTTCATTATCTACTCTACCATCTTGATTTACTCAAAAAAAGTTTAGAACTCTAATATCTTTTAGCTCTTGATGAACCAAATCTTTTTCTACTTTTAAAACATATCAAAAAGATACTTAATCTGTTAATACTGAAGCCTCAAATACAGAAGAAACTGCTTTATTGCCAGTATATACTGTAAACAAAGAAATTATTACAACTATCTATTTATTTGAGTAGAACTACTAATCTCTTTACCCCAAATTAAAACATTTAGTCCACTACCAAAATACCTTTATCCAGATATCTCAAATATTTCTAGTTTAACTTCTACTTACTTTCTACTTTATCCTCAACTCTTTGAGACAACCACTACATATAATTATCATTCTCAGAGGATTTAGACTTTTTCGAATAACCAGAATTAATAAATTTATTTGAATAAAGTTCTTTATTTTTATCTAAACAAACAGACTTCAAGCAAATACTAGACTCAAATAGTTCAAATACTAATAAAGAAATAAATATAGATAATATTACTTAAACTCTTAACTGATTAGCTAATGCTCTTAATAGAGGAGTATAAAGAGAAAAATCTCTTATTAAGATTAAACTATTTAGAGAAGATAGTATTGAGGATCCTATTAACTGGATTAATAAATTTGAACAAGCTGCTACTGCTACTAGAAAACTTGCTATTAC